ACAGCTCAGTTTCACTGAGCTACTACACAAGCTCCTCTGCCACAACAAGGCAGTGATCCAGAAGGGGCACGGAACTTTTATCATATTTTAATTTTTGTGTGTCTGTTGTTGTCCAATGATGGCAATGCTAAGTATGGTTAATATGCATTATGTCTCAATGTACTTAAGTATTAAGCAATCATTTTAGAATAGAACCACAGATCTTTAGCACTAGAAGCAAACATAAATGTTAGTCTAACACCTTAAATTTACAGGAAATTGAGGTCTAAAGGGGTTAAATGACTCGTCCAAGGTCATATATCTTATTTGTTAAATCTGATCTTTTTTTCAGCCCTTACCCTTTTTGTCTTCACAGCTTTTGATGGTGTTGATACAACACTTCTCCTTTTTCATAATTTTCTTTTTTCTTGGCTTTTATGACGACCTATTCTAGTTCTCCTGTCTATTCCCTCTTAGTATCCTTTGCTGGGTCATCATTAGTGTCCCACCCCTTTAACTGTGCTATCCCTAAAGGTACTGTCCCAGGCCCTCTCCTCTTCTTTGTCTACATTCTTTTTTGGTGATTTTATCAATTGCCATGTGTTCAGTTATCAGCTTTGCACAAGCTATTTCTAAAACCTGTATAGGTCTCTTATCACTAACTTCTGGATAGTTGCTATTCACAAGCATCACGAATTCAACATGTCCAAAATTCATTTCCATTGTCTTGCAAAATAGCAACCCATCCCACCTTCACCCCTACTCACAAAAAAATTCACCAAGCCAAAATTTCAAAACCATCTAAAATCCTTTTCCAAACCTACCTATTCTTACCACCATTCTTAGCACAGTGCCTGGCACATAGCAGGCACTTAATAAATGTTTATTAATTGATTGATTCTTCAAGTCATCTAGGTTTACAACCTAGAAATCATCCTCAAATCTTCCCTCTTTCTCATTTATTATATAAAATTACTTGCTATCAAAAATGTTGTTGATTCTACCTCTACAACATCTGTCCCATCTGTTTCCTTCTCTCACAGTCACAAACTGAGTTCAAAATTAAAATAATCTTTCTAAAATCCAGGTCTCACTGCATCACCCCTTGCTCAAAAAATTTCAGTGGCTTTTTACTGCCTCCAGGATAAAACATAAACTCCTCTGTTTGGCAGTTAAATCCCTTAACAGTTTGGCTCCAGCTTATCTTTCCAGACTTATTGCTATTACTTCCCTTCATGAATTCTCTGTTCTTGCCAAACTAGTCTACTTGCCATTTCCTGAACTTGGCATTCCATCTCTCACCTGCCATGACTTTGTACATGCTGTCTCGTGTACCTGGAACACTCTCCCACTTCACCTGTCTCCTGGAATCCTAAGCTTCTTTCAAGGCTCATCTCAGGTATCACCTCCCACAGGAAGCCTGTCCTGATCTCTCTGGTTATTAATACTCTCTCCCTTCTCAAATGACTTAGTGTTTACCTGTGTAAATACTACATCCCTTAAACAGTTAAGGGAGACGTAAGCTCTTGAAGGCCATTTTCATTTGGCCATCATATCTTCAGCATCTAGCACAGTGCTTCACAAGTAATTGATGGTTAATTTTTGTTAAAATGAGAGCAGAATCCAGAACTACTGGTTTCAGTTCATTGTTCTTTTAATTATATGAGTGCTTCTCATCTCATGTTGTTTAAAAAAGAAACAAATCTCAATGCTACTAAATAAAATAGATTTGGCTAAATAAATAACAAGATGGGGAAGTAGTTAACATGTGGCAACAAGAATTTTATGTTGTAGAGATGCCTAACTAGCTACCTTATTTATTTATTAGGAAAATGAGAGAATCTCCCTGGGATAGAGTTTTTTCTTTATACTTAAAATCTTGCTCATTCATTTTACTTTCAGCTTTATTCATTCTAGCCCAACCATCAACTGAGCAGTGGTAGCAAATATTCATCTGCAGAGCCAGAAACTCTTAAATAATTAACATACAGCTCCTAGCAGTTTTGAATTCAGATACTTTCCTAAGGCCCACTTTGAGGATGCTTACATAAAAATAGGCAGGGCTTACAATCACTATAAAAGAAGAGAAGAGTTCTTTTCCTTAAAGGGGGACACAGCTCTGGTGCCTGAAGTTGTTAGTCTATTTTAATTGCCCTTGAATCAATTTGCTCTAGATCTAAGAAGATGCTGAAGAGGAGTTTGAGTCCAATCTCCTTCCAGGCCTAGGCCCAGCTACCTTTCTGTGTATCTACAGTGTCATTACCAAGCAGTTCTGGATCCTAGTGGTGGTGATCAAAGACCACCATAGCAACACTAATTTCAGCACTGACAAGATCATTTATATGTGGGAGAAGGTTGTTAGCAGGAAGAAAAAAGTAGACTTGTAGTAGAAAACAAGGCACAGGAAAGAGTAGGCTGGGGAAATTGTAGTTTCTACTTCAAATCTATGCCTAAGGCATATACAATTCTTAACAATAATCACATCTGATTGTAGCAGGCAGTAGAAAAGATAATAGTAGGACACAGAAGCATTATCTCAGAAGGTAAAGTGTATACAGAACATTTATGTAGGCCCTCAATATGCCAGACTCTAAGGTGTAAGAGAACTTAGGGTTGCCAATGATAAGAACATGTTCTAAAGGAAATGCACAACTCTACAAACTACAAAGAGGACAAGTAGTGGGAAAATATGATGAAGGAATTATTAAATTAAGTATTAGTATAATTTGTATGGAAAGACTTTGAAGGATATAGAAAGAACACTGAAGTTTACATTCTATAAAGTGCCTTTCATATGCAGGCAAGGAAAAAAGAGAAAGAGGAGAAGGGAGGGAGAAAGGAAGAGAGGGGGAGAGAGAAACAGAGACAGAGAGACAGAAAGAGAGAGGAGGAAAAAAAAATTAAAAATACTAGTGGCAAAACCAGAATAGGAACCAATAGGCTATGGTTCCAGTAACAGAAAAGTGAGGTGTAAGCAGAAGAGGCAGAGGGGAGTAGCAAGACAATAAAAACGAACATGTAAAAATTGTACTGACTGTACACAACCAAACTCCTCAGTTTGTGGGCAAGACTAAGTCAATCAATCTACCATTCCTGACCCTCAACCGCCATACCAAAGCCCAGAGATATATTAAAATTGAGAGAATCAGGAGCTCAGAAGACCTAGTTTCATATACTTTCTGTGCCTCAGTTCTCTCATCTCCAAAATCAAGTAACTGAATTAAATTATCTTCTTGAGGCTATTTTTAAAGGCTTCTAGTCCAAGAGTTAACACTAACTTTTATTTCATTCATGGTCATAGCCATGTCAACAGTAAGGTCCTCAAATTTGAAAAAATAATTGTGCAAATGTTAGAATCAAAGTCTGGTTACATCATTATAGAATATGTTCTATAAATGAAAGTGGGTTATTACTAATATGCATCTGGTACACTGTAAAAAAAATACATGTATATGACATGGCAAAAACAAACAAACAAACAAAAAAAAAAAACTGAATTTAGAATCAAAAGACCTGGGTTCAAATGTCCATTATGTAACTACAGAACCTTAGACTTAACCTCCCAAGGTCTTCATCTGTAAAACTGGGAATATGGAAGCATATAGCACTAAGGCCTCTTTTTATGTTATTAAACATTAAAAAAATATGTTGATAGTGTGCTAGTCTGAATAGAAAATCTTATCAATATATATATATACAAAGTTCCAAGGAAATAATACCCTAATTCTGAAGCTCTTGATTTCTTTTGTGTAATTGAGGGCAATCAAATTCAGGGAAGGATCCTCCTGAAAATTAAGAAACTTTTATCTTGTCTATGATGAACAAACAAGGAGCAGAAATGTCACTGAATCAACTAAAAGAATTATCTCTTGAGAACACCTTTGAAGAGACTGAAAGAATAAATTCCAAGAGCAAGGGGGCACAGAGGGAATGTCCCTTTGTTAGCCAAAGGAGGTGTCCTTAGTTTTGTCCTGCAATTAGCATAGGTGAGTGAACCCTAATATTATACCCTGGACCTGACTTTTCCCTCTCCCCTTCTCTCTCTTTCATTCAGCAACCATGCTTAGACAGATAATTAATAAATTTGTTTCTGACAGACTTGTATTAATGTTCAAAATACTGAATTTTTTTAGACTAGATGACCTCTAGGTCTTCTCCAGCTCTACATCCTTTAACTTATTTCCTATTATTTACTCTATATGCCATGACTAAGACAGCTTTAGTTTGTAATTTACAAAGAAAATTCAGACAAGTAGGTGATACAATATATATCTTTGGGTAAGTGACAAAAGTATGAAGAGACTTAATTGCAGGGAAAATTAATTTTAGACAAATGAGTAAAAAATAAGACATATTTATAAGGCTTATAAAAAAAAGCTGGGATAAAAATGTCTAATGGCCTATAATAAGTAAACTTAAATAATAAGTATATTAAATTAGAACTAGATTCTTCTAATGCCTACAAACTAAAACTAAAGGCAATTCTTGGAAAGATAAACAGGAAAACTAAACCAATATCACTATAGAACTAAATTCAAAGAGTAATTTATAGTAAGACTTAAGAGCATAACTTATAAGGGGACCTCTAGTAGGTGGCTGAATCTGAGAAATTATTTGTGGGAAAAAAGTTGTCTAAATGTCTAACTGTGGGATCAAGGGTCTACACTTCTGCTTCTGAAATAAAATAAGCTAGGCAACTGAATAAAGAGTTGTTTAGGAAAGAGTCAAAAACAATCGGCAATGTTATCAAGTGGGAGAGCAAAACAGCAAATAGACTTTGGGGGTACTTTTTTCAAAAATCTGGTGCTAATCAGGGCTTAGCAGAATTAGAAAGTAATTGGAGGAAAAAAATTAACATTAAAGTAGAACATTAAAAAATTTTCTAATTACTAATGACAAGGAATTCCATGGACCATGAGACTATCTCACTACTCACTCACTATGTCACATAAAATTATCTCACAACTAATTTCAAGCTTATACTTGGGAGTAAAATTTTGGGGTAAGAAAGGGACACTTACCTCCATGTTCAAGAAATACTCGTACACATCTTTCTTTTCCTCTCGCTGCAGAGAAATGAAGCAGGGTCCACCCATTAGCATCTCTGCCATTTGGAGAATAGCCCTGTTCTAACATCTTTCGTACTGTGTGAACATCCCCAGCAGCCACTGCTGCCTGAATCTGTAATTCTTCCTGTAGCTCAGGGTTCCTTCGACAGTGGTGGTGTAACATCCTAGCTGAGTCGACTTTTTACAAAAGATTCATTGGGTCATTGGGATTCACCTTCAAATGGAGAATACACAACTCAAAATACTTGGTTCTTTTGATGCTGCATTTATAAAATAAGATTAAAGAATTTCACATTGTTAAAACTCAAAATCCTTACTAAACAGATAACATATGATCCAATAAGTGAGCATGTATATTTAAAATAGAAAATTTCAACAATTTCCCCAAGATTGCACAACAAATGATAAAATGGACTGGATTTGAAACCTAAAATGCCTAAAATGCAAAGTTCTTTCTCCACTTACTGAGATCTGGCCTTCTGAAACACAACACAAATGAACTTCACATTCAATAATTCTATTACAAAGGATGATGCCTTGCCCAGCAAAGAGATAGGATATTTGTACCAGTACTGAAAGTAGTTTGCAAGAGAAAATTATTTGCCAGGTACAAGCATTAATGAATCACAGGTAATATGCCATTCAAAAATTCTACACCAATCACAATTTATAAAGTAGTTCTCCTATAACACAAAAGAAACATTAACCAGAAAGACAAAACTTAAAATCCATAGAAGAAAAGCCTAGAATAATAAACAGAAAAGAAAGAGCTCTTCAGAAAATGAAATCACTGATAAAACATTTAATAAACCCTTATTAGAAAAGAAGGTCAGTGACAACTTTTATGAGAACTATAATAACATTACAAAATGGAACAGTCTGTTCACAGGCCAAAACTGTATTTCTCTCTGTATGCTTATTCTAACCAAAAACCAATTATTAAAAGGAATAGTGATAATATTTCTATGCAAAGGTTTTCTATCCTACCTCTTTTAATGAATAAAGGACTATTTCACAAACAAATTAGGGTCAGTATAAGTTGATGACAAATGTGCAAGGAGTAAAGTTCATTATAAAAAGAGGTTGAAGAAATTCATATTTAACAATAAGTACTATTTCAATAATAATTTCTTTTTCTTAAGGAAAATTAGAACACATATACTTCATAGGTTTTTGGTAGGTATTTTTCTTTTCTGTTTATTCTTACTTCCATCTCAATCTATAACATGTCATGTCAATCTAATACATGATTTATTATCCCACTTTACTTGTTATATCCTCTTCTTACATTCTTTCACAAATTCATTTTTTCAGAATGATTTTAAGACTACAAATACAATAGGAAGAATATACCAAACATTATAATGATACAAAAAACTGAGACAGTCCAGTAGACTAAATGGTATGGGAGAAAAAAATTTATGAAAAAGTCTAGTATGAGGATAATCATAGGGCACATAGCTTAAAACGGTCAACAGAATCACTTTGGAAGCAAATAGAAAGTAGGTAAGTAACTATATAAAATAATTAAAATATTACTAATGCAAACCAATGTGATAGAGAAAAGTAATACTGAATTAGTGAATGGGCTGAACTATATTTTAAAAAGAAATCCATTTTATTACTTTTTAAGTACATGAATTAATGATCGCTAAAATCACTGCTAATTTGTTCAGGAAATCTTTTCTTTATTCAGAGTAGAAAGATCACAATTTCAAATATTTAAGCTAAACTTACGTTGGTGTATATATTTTTATAATGTTGGCTAACAGAGTATGTACTTCAGATCAACTAGTCCTATAACGACAAACAGATACTTAAAGAAAATTGAGAAATTAGTAACTTTCTTAACTCTGTTCACTTTAAATATGCTGTTTTTAATCATTCTGCCCAAATAGATTTTTCCATTGTGACACAAACTACATAAATTTGGCAATTAAAAGTATAAATATTGACTTAGAATTTTTAAGACATTGCATACCATTTAGGAAATGATATAGAATAATAAAAGAAAAAGTTGAAGCACGTCAGCTAGATCTAATGGAAATATTGACTAGTTAAGTAACAGTTTATCTTGACAACAACTACCACCTTTAAATGTTTTTTTAAACCTCTTTGATTTTTGTAAGTGAGGTCCTTCATGCAAGAAAAGAAATTAAAAAGTACCAAAATGTATACCTGGGGTACGAAGAGTTAGATTTAGTATAAATCAGCTATATTGAAAGCAAGTAAAAGATTTAGATAAGAAATAAAATGCCATATAATTATAATGATCAAGCCTGGACTCAAAGAGGAGATAAGAAAATTTATCTTTCTCTCTTCTTTGAACAGGTGGATGACTACAGTTATATACGCAAATATACATATATATGCATATGGTCAATTTTCAATATTACTGCATTTTTTGGTGATTTTATTAATGTGTGATTTTGTGTCATTTGTGTGATTTTCATTAGTACCTTATTTTCACTTTCACATTGGCAACCACGCACATTTGTGGCTATGAGCAATAGAAAAAAAAAAAATGAGAGGCACAATGCATGCAAGTTTGAAGAACAGCTGATATCCTACTAGGATATATAATTTCAAGCTGGTGCATTGGGATTTCACAATCTCCAATGCTAGCCACCAACCATGAAGTACAGTGTCAGAGGTGATGTTGAGACCTCATTGGTCTTGACATCTTCAATGGCAACTAAAGTCCCAGGAACCTATTCCTTGGGAGGGCAGCCAAAGTAGAGAGGTTTGTGACAGTATAGTATATGGTACAACATCTTTACACTACCATCTGACACAGTGGAAGGTAAGATTCAGGTTAAAAAATGTTTTAATTTTAAGAATTTTATTTGCTATACAGTATTTATGGTACTGTAGATTTCATGTGTTATAAAAAGTGGCTATTGTCTGAAATCAATGTTTTTATTTTATTGAGCTGTTAGCACAAAACGTCACAGAATTCTAGGGAATTACTAGCAAGAAAAAATGTTTTGCATGTTACCAATTTTATTTTGTGTACCACATTTTATGGGTTATTTCATGGTTACTGTGTTAGGAAAAGCACACATTATCAGAATTAATGTTTTGTTACAAAGAACTTTATGCAGAAAAGTGTATTTTCAGCAATCTCTAGCAAAAGATTAGTTTTTGGTGGTTGCAGGAACCTAACCCCCTATTTCTTATAGGTTCAAGGTATCAACTTTCCTGGGGTTTTTTTTGTTTTTTTTTTACTTTCATGCAGTTTTCTAGCAATGTTACCCCTGTGAAAGTTGAGGATTGACTATGTATATCTGACTTGAACAATATGTTGGGTCAGTTTTGCTGAAGTGTTTTTTTCTATTTTTATTCACTGTTAAAAAAGAAGGTTTTCTAGGGAGGCATATATTTGGCAATGGAGGTAATATAAAACCAAAAAATATCAATAGTTTTAAAAAAAATAAACTAATTTTTTTCCACAAATATAACTCAGCAAAGGTAAAACTTTGCCCATAATCAAAAGATTACCTTATTGAAGAATTTCACTTCTCTTGCTATATGTGCCAGTGATCATTGTGCTTATAAGGCACAATTTGGGGGATTCTGCTAAATCTGTGTGTCCAGAACACATAGCAAATAAGCTTCTTTTACCTTTAATGAAAAAAAAAATAGTTGTCATAGGAAAATCTCTTTACAAAACTATATAAAGACATGTATCTACAAATGCTTCTTTCTAATAAGCTAAAATTTCATCACAATTCTCCTGTCCACATAGGAAAAAAAGAGTTAAGGTCAATTTTTATAGAAATTCTTCTCATTATTTTCTCATCCAGGTTGTTGAATGTGATATTTTTCCAAGGATATTTTCCCTGGAAAGGCAGTTTCAAAAAATAAATAAATAAAATGAGATACTTCTGGGAAATGGAAATAAGTAGGGAAACACTTCTCTCTATGTTCAGAATCTATCTTTTGCCTTACTTTATAAGAATCACTTTTAAACTACTATAGGTGGTCATTTGCTCATTCCAAATAAAACTAAAGTGAATACATACACATTCAATAAGTAGATGACTAGGTAAAAAATAAAAGCTTTGTTGCTCATTTTTTAAAAGAAAATTTAACTAAACTTTGGCTCTTGAAAATTTTTTTTTAGATTGTCAATGGCACTGTTTCACAACTTTGAAAGTGTTATTTTTTTACCTGTATACTAAACCACGTGCAGCAAAGACAACAGCTGTGTTTAAGCTGCTACCTTAAACCACTATAAAATAATTACTCTCCATAAACAGCTTTTTTATATCAATTAAATATTAGCTACTTAGAAAAATAAAAGATAAACTATATTGACTTTTACTATGCAGAACTATAATCAAGGAATTATCTTCGTGTCTAAAGATTTAAAATTTTTGCAAATTTTATTTAGATCACACCTAAGCCTGTACACTCACTCATCTTTAAAACAAAAAGATATAGGTTACCCTTATACCTCTTAGTATAGTTGTCAATGTCTGTTCAGGCCATAGGATCACAGAATTGGAAGGGACCTCAGAGGAAAAGACACATTAAACAGCCACTATCAATGAAATTAATGGGCAGAGTTGGGCTATGAAAAACAGCATTCTGATGTTATAGAGCAAAGGCTATTTCTCTGGGCTTTGAGCTCTATCTGGAAATCTTGAGTTTCATCTATCCAAACCAATAAGAGATAGAGGGGATTCTTGCTTAAGTATCCATCAGATGGGCCCTAAAGTCTCTTTTCAATTTTAATACTGTTCATTCTTTCCATATAGTATTTTAATGCACGTCTCCTTTACATAAAACATTCCAAAGTGGGAACTATTTTAAAACTAAGCATATAAAATATTTCTACATTAATAATAATGATGATGATGAAGATGATAATAATAGCCAGCATTTATATCGTGATTTTAGGATGGTAAAGTGCTTTTACATAAATGATCTCATTTGGTCCTCATAATAATCCATGATGCAAGGTATATTATTATCTCCATACAATAGATGAGGAAACTAAATTTAAGCAATGTTAAGTGACTTGCCCATGGTCACAAAGCTATCAAGTACATAAAGTAGCATTTTAATCCAGGTCTTCTTGACTCTAATCCCAATATTCTTTGATGTATTTCATCATAATGCCTCTTACAAATGTACTGATACATGTAATTAATGTAATGCCAAATACAAAAAGGTGTTTAGTAAACACTTCCAATGATAATTATTGCACAATGCTTTAACCTGTAGGGTTTAACAATCTTTATATTAAACTGTGCCCACTTTTTCAGAGAAAATGCCGCCAAATGCCTTTTTTTCATAATGCCTTTGACTGCTTCTAGTACCCAGTATGAGCAGAAATGTTCCAGCATAATTTCAACCCTTATTGCTCCTAAAATTGGTTTCTGCCTACCAATTTCAAGAAGAGAAAACAAGGAAGATAGAGGAGGGATATGAAATATATTTTACCAGTACACAAAGACAGTCATTGTTAATATTGAGATTATACTAAGTTATTTTCCCCATATCTTGGAAAAGAGGCATAAATAATACTGACTTGTGATGTAGTTGGGATTCTATGGGTCTTTTGCCCCTATTACAGCCAGTATAGATCAACTAACCAATGGATGATTTACTAAGCAATTACTCTATTATGAGCATTATGGTAGATGCTGGATAGTTTACAATCGTTTTCTTTAGGTTATATTTTAACAAAACATGATTTTAGAGCAACTGAAACAAATAAAATAATATTGGTTATTTCACTATCATTTATCCCTTTTTCTGACCGTGCCAAGTTCTATAAATATTGGCTGCATCCTCAACAATGAAAACATACCATTCTTTGCATATGCATAGTAAATCAGTCTTTTCGGTTATACCTTCACATATAAGTGGAGATCACTGTCACTTAAATCATTTTCAATTGTAAAGGCCAATAACATGTAACCAGATATATCCTGATTGCCAGAAGTGTAAGGCTAATAGTGAATGATGTTACTATTATTTCATCTTCATTTAATTACCTATGTAAATAAGGGAAGAGGGGGAATGAACACACTATTTGAGGCACTATTAAAACAAGAGAACAAGAAATCAATTCTAAAGATAAGACCTAGTAATGGGTTTGCTTTCTTTCATGAAATCCAAGCTTAGGATCTGATAGTACACTTTCCATGTAAGCTACTAGTCATGATGAAGCCAAAAGTGATGATTTTCTAAACAGCAAATTATGTCTGATTCAACTTTGACAGATATATTTGATGCAACTCATTATTAAGAGAGAGTATGAATAACAACAACTTGTCCTTACTGGCATTCAGTGTCACAGAAAATTGAAACCTGCAGCTTAATAACCACAAATATCATTCTATACTTCAAGGCCAAGAAATTAGAAGAAAAACAGGTACATTTATCAGAAAGACCAGTTTTACAGTATAAGAAAGGAATAAAAGAATACTAGTTGTTTAGGAACTATACTATGATGAAAAGTAAGGACTGAGAGCCAGAGGACCTGGGTTTGAGTGCTAGCTTTGCCATTTATCTCTGAAGCCCTCAATTTACTCATCCATAAAATGAGGGGTTTGGACTAAAGGATCTTTAGGGTTCCTTCCAACTCTGAGAGGATGTGTCTAAATACTGCAAATGAATCTAAATTTCAAAGTGTGCAAATTACTGGTATTATCATACAGCTAAAATAAGTTTTCTCCAGGTTATCTTATATTGGAAATAATTGTTTATCTTATTTCAAAAGAATATTTAAAAGTTCATTCTGAAGGTTCATTTGTTTCAGCTGACACTGAGCCAAAAGAAACCTACCTAATTTTTCATATTGAGGACCATATTACAAACCTTGTGAATTAAAAAGTTCAAGAAATATATACCCCATTTCCATTCACATGGCAAATAAAAATTGAATTTGGTTATAATAAAAATGCCTTGCTCCTAATGTTCATAAAATGCTTATATTCTTAAAATGAGAAGCACAAAACTACTACCAAATAAATACAGAAATTTCAAAAAAATAAATTTCATTTAATATATCATTTTTACAAAATCTGATCCTACAAAAGTAATTAGTCATTAATAGTGTTTTGCATATAATTTTTACTAAGAAAAAAAAAAACACTACACATTTTTGATTAGATGATGCAAATGAGAATTGTGCTTTCTGATTTCACACAAACTAGAAACAAGATAACAGCTTGCTCCACAAAAAAAGAAACAAGCATTTCTTTCCCAAGTGAAGAGATACAAGGAGGGAGCAGAGAAACAAAATCAGTAACTTAATGATGCTGACTTTCTCAGGAAACATCTATTTAACACTTGTAAAATATAAAGAATAGTATGTCTAAATATTTTATGTTCAAATCTATTGTGAAAAGTTATTTTTTGAGATACAAAATGACTTGTTACTTTTATGTAGTCAATAATGGTATGAAAAATAAATGTGAACATTTTAATATGAGAAAGGCAGCTTGCTAAACTAATTAGAAAGCTGGCCTTGCAGTCTGTAAGACCTAAGTTCAAGTAAGGCCTTTACACATATTCTGATGGCAGGAGCCTGGGCAAGTCACTTAACCTCTCAATGTCCAGGCAATTCTTTTATCATTACATGTTGCATAGCAGGTGCAGATCTGCACTGGTAGATCAAATTCCTCATAAAGACCTTCCTAAAATGATGAAATCACAGATCCAATAAAAAAAAAATAATAGCAACTACCTCCCAATTTTCATTCCAAGGAGATAATCAATTCAAATCTCTATCCCCTCACAACTTCCAACTTTCTACGCTTCTTTGTTGAATAGGAATAATTAACATATATCAGTCAGCCAGAAATTTTGAAAATCCAAATTCTAATTTTCCTGACTAAAAAAAAAACCAGAAATTAGTGACAAAGTAATGGAGGAAAAAAAAACCCCACAAAGCTTCGTTTCTAAAGACTTCAATTTAGAATACATTCAATCAATACTATCCACATCACATATGGATTGATATGGATCAATAGGTGAACATATCTGTCTAGAATGGAAATGAGCAGGATAAACTTCATTTAAGGAGTCTTATGTGTCAGTGTTTGAAGATATCTTCAGGGGAAAAAAGCTGTGATCACTCCATTCTGGGGATAATTTTAATTTAGAATTAAGAGCTACAAGAATTAGATTTGCTAACATGAGCCATATCTGGCTTTCAATTTTTATGTGTTTACAAACTTCCACAATCACCCAAGATTTGAACAAAATAAAATTAAAAAGGTGACAATTACAACCATTATTACTTTTTTCAGATATAGTAAAAAAAATTCTGTATAACATGGCAAAGATGCACTGTAACATATCATTCATTAATGTGATGATGGCAAATACTCTTTACAAAATTATAATCACCTCATGGTTACGAAGGAAATTAGGTAATTCTTTCAAAATGTATTTTTCAAAATAATTTCAAATGTGTCTTTCACTAGAGTTAATGAACTAAAAAAAATATCCTATTAGGATTAAGACATGAACAATAAAGGACACTTCAGTGAACTGGTTAAAATAGTGTCTTTGACACAACTTTGACAGCCAGGGGGCTCAAGGCAGGGGGCTTTCTAGGTGCACTTCGAACAGGGCTACCCCTGCCCCCTTTCTGATGCAACTCAATTACACTCTCAGAGACACAAAAGATGTTTAGAACTTTTATCAGCTAAACAACTCATTAGAGACATACAACAAATTTTAAAAATCAATGAAATAAAATTAAGAAAGGTATAATACAAAAAAAAAAAAAGATGATGGACTGGTTAAGTTGTAGGGTAAGGGTGCAAACCTTCCTTACTTTAGATTTGCACTTTAATTACAGACTTAATTGTAGAACTATCATTTAAAAAAAAAAAATCTTCATTATGTCAAATAACCCCTGATTTCACTGGTGTAGGTATTGCTACCAATACAGATCACAACTCTTCCATGTTTTATTTGGTCTTCATGTGTTGCTGTGGGCAAATAAGTTTATCACTTGGTAGTCAACCTTCTGGTGATGAACCTCCCCAAATTTAACTAGGACTATCTTTGAATTACACGTCCTTTCACCTTGATAGCTCCTTCCAGAGATGTGCTTCACTCACACCACCCCCTCCTAGAAACCAGGATTGTTTGCATACTCTAATGAGGCTTTAGTAGTACTTTAGCAAAGGAATATAAAAAGACCCTTCAGAAGGTTCTTCAAATTTAAGCTTGAAACATGCTTAAGTGGGAAAGCTTGAATAACAAAATAACTTGGTATCAAAAACTGAAGAGTTTAGGGGAAAAAAAATCCTAACATATATACTATCTACAGTTGAAATTTTTGTATTTCAATGTGGAAACTTATTCTCTAACTTGACTGTACTGCCTAGTTTTATTGAAATGTAGCAAGTATCTTTGTCTTTGATTCCACACATGTTTATGCATCCTTACACCCTATGCCCATGCAAACACATGCAAAAGTGTGTGAGTGGGCAAAAGGGACTGCATTAAACTTTCACCTTTACTATCTACTTTCATTAGTAAATAGTAACTATAAAATGTATTCAGTACAGTACACTGTCCCTCTGATAGCCAATTCCCTCTAAGGTTCATAGTAGTTATAAATGCAACACATCGGACAGGAATTATCTTAGAATGACAGTGGAAAGGCCCATTAATGACACAGTTTTTGTTTTCTACAAGGAAAGCACAAGGCCACAGGGTAGTTAGATGAAGCAAAGACTTCCTATCAACTCCTTCTGCTGTTAAGTGATGCTTTGTAACTGTAACTAAAAAGGAAACATCCTAAATAATTTGAAATATTAAAAAGATTACGAGAGAAGTTAATAGAAGTCATTTTATATCCTTAAATGTCATTGTATGACAGAAACATATTGTTCATTTGGCCAACTCCTACATAAAATTTTCCTGGCCCATTTTCCTGTTTCTTTCTCCAGTGTATGGGCTACATGTATAAATGCCTGAATTTATCTCTCAATCACTTTCAATAATATAACCTCAAAATGGAGGATTTTTAAATACCTTTACTAGGTTTTAAAATAGTAGCAGCACATTTTCTGCAAAATTTTTACATTTAAAAAGCAGGCCAACTGTGAAGACTGCCAAAATAAAGTCCCATATTTCTAATCAGACCATGGCGTATGATAAATCCAACCAACCTTAATGTTAACCATCTCTCTCTTTAGAAAAAAAAAATGGAGAATCAACTGTTGTCAAAATATTGTGAGATGTAACAATTCTCTGTGAAATCCTGAAATGCATTACATTCTGCTCTGATAATAATTTCAAGGCCCATTATCTACATCTCAAATTTGAAGTTATCAAAAAAGAGTGAAAATAATTATTTCTCTATATGCTGTGCTCACAAAAGTAATGCCTGCAAATAATTCAAAGTATAAAGATTAATTTTATACATAACAGTAATCAATACATTTTCTAGGACTTAGATTATTCTACATCAACTTTCAAACTATTTATTAGTGTCCTCCAAATTTCCGGGTTGATAACTTTGAAGATAAGGAAGAATGAAGCTAGGCTACTGGTAAAGGAGAAAATGACTATAAATCACAGTTTACTTAAAAACTATAGTTACACAGAACAAGCAAAGCAATTTATTTGTGAAATTCCTATGGGTGTAGCAATAAAATGGCACAGAAGGTCTCAAAGCTGAAAAGCAAAGTATAAGTGAGGTATAAGAAATGATGACATAAACCATAGAAAAACACCATATAGAGTAGGAAAAATATAGTCCCTGGGGCAAGGAAGTTATTGAATGTTCACGGTTAAGAAACAAGACAGTGTCTCTGTTTTGCTGGGGTGAGGAGAGGGGATTGTGAATACTCCCTTGGTTCTACCCTAAAAATATAGCACTGACTATAGAGATAGGCGGCAGTGAGGAGGGGGGAGGCAGTAACTAAGTGGGGGAGGGGAAGATTATTATGATTACCTTTGTACTGGAAACTGACCCCACTTTCACTGCCTCTCCGTGCGTAAATGGCAGAAGAAATCTTCCTGTTTTTAGATCTCCAGTTAGCCTGGAAAAAAAACAAACAAACAAGCAAGCGGCACTCAGTTAGTGCAATGTCTGAGGGAAAAGGGTACGAGAAGGAAAGGAAGCTGAGGTAAGGTAAAAAGGGCAAAGGACTGAAGAGTCAGAGGGACGGAGAAATGACTCCCTCCCCTCCCCGCCACCCCCAGGAGATAACTGACTTTTTACCTTTTTTTTTCCTCAGCTGTTTCTTCTCCTCCTTTCAGCCGCTACCACAGCCACCAACTTCTCCATTCAAAAAAAAAAATCACCTCAGGGCCAAATCACTTGGTGTTTCCAATTCTCCTCAGCGCCTCAGTCTCAGCCAGGCGAGCATCAAGACAGCAGAGGGGGTGGAGGGAATCCTAATTTAGGGGAACCTCAAGGCAGGGGGTGGGGGAGGGAGAAAGTCCAGGTCAGGAAAAAGGGGGAGATCCAGTCAGGGTGCTCAGGGCAGGGGGTTGCCGATGTCAGGGGCAGGAGCGCCGCAGTTGTGGGGGGACCGGGAAGGTCTCTGGGCAGGAAGAAATCACCTCATGCAGGGTCTGAGAGTGCTGGAGGCGGGAAGGTGCCGGCCAGGGGGCTCAAGACAGGGGGCTTTCTGGGTGCACTTTGCACAGGGCCACCCCCGCCCCCCTTCAGCACTTTGGGGTCACAGGGAAGGTACCAACCCCCCACCAACCAATCAGCTGCCTCACAGGGGACTAAGCCTGGAGCCGTAAACCAGGTCTGAGGTGGGTGGGGGTGGGGGTGGCTTGGTTGGTTGGATGGTTTCTTCTCTCCGCCTTCTCCCCGCTCCCCCACCCCTCCTTCTCTGCCGTAAAGCCACATGCGCGTTCGCGACAGTTGGAAGAGGCGTGCCGTTCTGCGCCAGGACTCGTCTCCGATTGGCTCCGCTCCCCGCTTCCCTCACCGCTTCTCCACTCCCTTCCAGACTCCGCCCCTAGTGAGAGGACTCGGGGAAGTTGCTAAGCGACGACAGCCCGAGGGAGGGGTCTCTACGCATGCGGTGGGCGGAGACTAGGGGGGCATACGAATCTCTTCGAACTACGGTGCCCGGGAGGTAGGGACGGAGTAGCATCCCTGGGATCCATGGTCCACTTGGATACAGAGCGTGAAGGCGGGGCGGCTTCAACGGGACTCCTGGGCCGATAAAAACGGTGACATGATGGAAGGAGGGGAGGACGCCGGCGAGTAGGGGAATCTTCGCCGAGGAGTTTTTGAGACTGACGGAAGGGGAAGGGGTGGGAGAAAGAGGGAGTAGGCCCGGGAAGCTGAGGGTGGGGACAGGTGACGGCGGCTGTCGCAGCCCGTCCCGGCTGCCGGGCTCTTCCTTCCCTGTGACGCGGAGGGCGCTGGGAGGAGCGGTTGGAGCCTTTCCAACCCCGAGCTCTGCACGTGCGTTTGGAAAAGTTTAAGGGTCTAAAGTGTTAGTTCTCCCGGGGTCAGAGGCCGGCACCGATCAGCTTGTCTTTCCCTGCCCTTCTTAAATACGACTGAGAAGTCATGACTCTTAAAAAGGAGCATGGACTAGGTGTTTGTAAAATAGAGATCTTGGTCTGTCTACTTCGCTGTGTTTTGGGGGGGGTAGCGTTTTGTGAATGATAAAGATCCAAGTCAATCTGAGCCAGTGTTCTATTACTAAATTACAAGTTTTGTTACTTTGCAGTCACGGGGGAAGTCCGACTTAATTAATGGACCACTGTATTAAAAAAAAAAAACACTTATTTTAAGGAAGGAATAATATTCGTTTAATTTTAGGGAATAAGTGTTATATTTCACTTAGCAATTATATTTACCGTCTAACCAAATTGACATCGTATTTATGCTATTGTTTTGCTCAGTGAATCTTTTTAAATGAAGAAAGTTTGAAAAAGTAAGCCTTAATGTGCTGTGAGGTCTCTACAAACTCTGAGTCACTAACTTTTGAGCACAGACCAGATGATCACAAATTGTGAGGTATAAATTCATGAAATTTTACTTCCTTCTAAATAATTTATAATGTATTCCACAATGCAGCGTTATGTAAACAGTACAATCATATATGAGGAATAATGGGCTTCCCCTCTTTTCTCCCCCACCCCCAACTTTGCCAGACCACTAGTCATTCTACTTTCTGTAGAGTGATAGAGTTGGATTAGATGATCTCTAAGGGTCCTTCAGGCTCTCAATCTTGTGATCCTGGGACTGCAGAGAGGGCCTGTTCACAGCCTCAAGCAAGACATTTCTTAGGAGACTAAACATAGAAATCCAAGTATAACGTTCTTATTTTTAGAAAAAACTTAATTAAACTGGATGTAGTTCAGTGTTTCAGTAAAGCAGCATGCATTAATCACCTGCTCTGTGACAGGCACTGTGCTAAACACTGGGGATCCAAATAAAGGCAAAAAACAGTGCCTGCTCTCAAAGAGCTTAATCTCATTTCATAAATACTGTGAAACTGGCCTGTCTCAATTTCTTGCTAGTTCATAAATTGAAACTTAAACTTTTTAGAATAGGATGGCTAGAGATTTGGGAATGTAAAATTGTTAAGACTGGTGAGAGTCTAATTTCTTTTCTCAACCCACATATCCTAAAACCCTTCAATTCACCAAATGTTTATAAGCATCTGTTATGTACAATAGGCAGCCTATAGAGTGCTGGGCCTGGAGTCAGGAAGACTCATCTTCCTGAGTCCAAATCTAGCCTTAAAACACTTACTAGCTGTGTGACCCTGGGCAAGTCACTTAACCCTGTTTGCCTCAGTTATAAAATGAGCTGGAGAAAAAAATGGCAAACCACTCCAATTTCTTTGCCAAGAATACACCAAATGGGGTCATGAAGAGTCAGACATGACTGAAAAACTGCTGAACAACAACATTGTTCAAGACACCCATTGAATTCCCACTGTAATGCTTCATTGTTTCAGGAGAGGTGATCCTTACTCCTCAAATGTTATGCCTGCAAAGTACAGGCCACAATAGGTTTTGCTAAGCTGAGAAGGCCATGAGTATGGCATGGACCCTATATGTCTGTTCTCCAAGGTCTAGCCTAGCTAACTAAGTTTAGAATCCCTTCACCAAAGGACTGAAAAGAAAATGACATTTGTTTATTTTTGGCTTCTATAATTCATTGAACCACCACTGAGCAATGCCAGGTTGTGATCTGCATTGCTGCAGTGTACCCACTTGAAATAGGTTTTGGAAGTATTCAAGTAAGTATGTAAAAATGATTACACTGGGAATGTAGAGATGAAAGGACCTCTCATTAAAGAGCTGACAATCCATTGTGTGTGTGTGTGTAAATGAGTATAAGACAAAATAGTGTGCCTTAAGCACAGAGTGGAGTTCTAGACTGTGCTATAAGAAAATATTAGGGTAAAAAGATAAACCTTTGTTTCAGAGAGAAACTTAAAAACATTGTGTTATTTTCCAAAGTCACTCCAGCCCACTCCCCTGTTCCCAGGAACTTCTAGAAGTAGACCATTGCCCAGGTGAGGTGGCTGTTCAAGATATACATACTGATGGTATATCTGTAACAGCTGACTTACAGTCTGCACAAAAGGCATTCTTCATCTGCTTGTCCCCACCCCCTTTGTAGATCAGTAGGCCAAACTTGATAATATCATTTAGGAGTCTGTGAAGCCTGCCTAGGCTTGATGTAGTTGACAAAATGTCATAGCAAAGAAGCCTCTGGAGAACCTTACTACTTTGTTGTTGTTTAGTCATTTGAGTTGTGTCTGACTCTTCATGACTCCATTTGGAGTTTTCCTGGCAAAGATACTGGAGTGTTTTGCCATTTTTTTCTCCAGCTTATCTTACAAATGAGGACTGAAGCAAACAGGGTAAAGTGAATTGACCAAGGTCACAGCTAATAAATATCTGAGGCTGGATTTGTGTGTATGTGTGTGCTTATACTTTTTGTTTCCTTTTATACCTAGCCTTTAATATATATAAAGTCTATTGAATTAATAAATTTGTAAAACTTATACTTTTCAGTGACTCAGTTTTTCAACATCCTCAGTAATTTTTTATATTTTACTATTAATTTCCACAGGCAGAGTATTTCAAAATTAATAATTCCATTTTAGGAAACTACATTGATAGTAAAACTGATTGTTTTACTACTGAAATGGAGCACTTGAGAGATGATCTACTACAAACCATTTATACCACAAATGAGATTACTGTGACCCAGAAAAGGTAAGTGACTTGCCCAAGGTCGCTGAGCTAGTTGTTGATACCCAGTTTTTCTGATTCTGTCTAGTGCCTTACTACTACATACTGCTTCTCCTGCTCTTACACTGAAGTTAAAATGGTCTTCGAAACAATCAGAATGTCATCTTTAACATAACCACAGACCATACTATTGGTCCCAGAATTAGAAATTAAAAGTACAGGTCATCAAAACTTAATTTTCTTTATTATTTAACAACTTGTATTTAAATGCCTGCCAGATGGTGAAGTAGGGCAGCTAGGTGTCCTAGCGGATAGAGTGCTGGGCCTGGAGTCAGGGAGACTCATCCAAATTCAACCTCAGACACTTACCAGCTGTGTGACTCTCTGCAAATCACTTAACCCTGTTTGCCTCAGTTTCTTATCTGTAAAATGAGCTGGAGAAGGAAATGGCAAACCATGCCGTATCTTTGCCAAGAAAACCCCAAATAGGGTTACAAAGAATTGGATACAACTACTGTTGCTGCTATTAGTCCTTCCTTTTCAAAGAGAACCGTGACATCAGAGATGTGATGTCATGACATGCAAATGTGTTGGATTTAAGTGAGAGAGAGCTATGAAAAGTCACCAGCCTCACTTTCTCCTCTAGAGCCATGTGGGTCCAGTGGCCAGATATGGATCAGGATGACTGGAGTTGGCCCAGGATGCATTTGGCCTTATCAAGCTAAGGCCTTTAAGGTCTCAGTTTGGCTGAGGCTGCTCCCATTCAGTGATTAAGGTTTTAAAGAAATAAGGCAAAGAATGGCCTCTTTTAAAAAAAAATAGATCTGGGAGGGGAAGACCCTCAGGGTTTCTGGCCAAAACTGAGACAATTGTCATTCGAATTCATTCTGAGCAACTGTGACCAAGTAGGGCTTGGTCTGGGACCAGGGTGATTTGGGATTAATGCAAAGTACTTCTCTCCTTCCTTCCCTGCTGCCACACACACACACACACACACACACACACACACACACACACACGCACACGCACCCTTTTTTTGGGTTCATTCTAAATTTGACAATAACTTTTTCCTGCTTTGGATTTATTATTAATACTATTATTATTTTTTTATGTGAGGTAATTGGGGCTAAGTGACTTGGCCAGAGTCACACAGCTAGTGAGTTATGTGTCTGAGGCTAGATTTGAACTCAGGTCCCCCTGACTTCAGGACCGGTGCTCTATCCACTGCGCCAACTACCTGCCCCTACTTTGGATTTTTCAAAGAAACATTTCTGCAGAGTGATTTTTAACCAATGATCATTTGTTTTTAACATATATTTTATTTCCCATTCATTTTAGACAAATATAAAATTTGAATGGAAGCAATAATTGAACATGTTCACAAGGTAATTAGGAATAAATTTTATGAGACCTTAGATCATAAAGTTGTGCCTCAGATTTGAGTTTAGTTCTTGAATGAAAAAAAGACTTTATAGCCTAAGATGAGATAATTTAGTTTTGTTATTAATATATGCTAACAATGAATGAACACAGTCTGAAATAGAAGACTGTAGAGTAGGCTGTCAAATTCTTATTTCTCTAAATCATCTCTTATTTCATCAAGAATGCCGAGGTCTGATGAATGCATGAAATCCATTTTTTTAGTTAGCTGAGGTAGAGTTATATAATGACCACATTACATTGTCCCAGATTATTTACTGCATATTTGTTTTCGTTCAGTCATTCAGTTATGTCTCACTCTTTGTGACCCTGTGTGGGGTTTTCTTGGCAAAGATACTAGAGTGGTTTGCCATTTCCTTCTCTAGTGAATTAGCCAAATTGAAATTAAGTGATTTGCCCTGCATCATACAACTAGTAAGTATCTAAGGCTGGATTTGAACTCAGGTCTTTCTGACTCCAGGCCCAGCACTCTATCCACTGAGCCATTTAGCTGCTTTCATTACATTATCCCAGATTATTTGCTGTGTATACATGTCCATGTTAAATAATATGTACTCTGTAATTTTATTTTCTGCTGCAGTGCTTCTGTTATATTTGGAGGGGGGGTACTTTAGAGTGATTAGCAAGTCTTCCATTTAATATTTCATTGCCACATAACTAGAAGTTGACATTTTTAATTCAGGAGACTTTGTCTTACAGTGATTAATACAATTTTGCCTTTAAGAAATCAGTTAGGGGCAGTTAGGTGGCCCAGTGAATAGAGCTCTGGCCTTGGAGTCAGGAGGACCTGAGTTCAAATCCAGCCTCAGATGCTTCACACTTACTAGCTGTGTGACCCTGAGCAAGTCACTTAACCCTGTTTGCCTCACCAAAAAGCAAAAAAAAAAAGAAAGAAAGAAAGAAATCATCTAGCAAAATGTAATTTAGTAATTTAGCCAGTGTCCAACATTAGACTGTAGAACTATTTTTAGTAGAAATCTAAATAAAATTTCTCAAAATAGAAACATTTAAATTTTGTCTGTATTATGTCATTACATACAAAGGTAGGTAATTTCTAGTGTTCTAGCTCATAGTGACATTCAAGTGACTACTGATTCTCTAGGAACAAAATTGTTTCATACTTTTTTAAAAATAAGAAAAACTTTATGAATGATATGAAACAGCCACATAAATTTAGAACTGTATTGGGGGAAAATACCTCTCTGCACAGATTCTCTTTGCCTGCAACCAGAGTAGAGGTTAAATCTAAGACATTTTTCTTCTGTACCCAACATCTTAAGCTTTTTACCTTCCTTGTTGACAAGTTCCTCATCTTTGTGCATATCTTGGGCACATCTTGCCTTCTTGTTCTTATTACTTCATCAAACCCATGAAGCCAGATGTTTTTTAAACCTAAAAGAAATCCACTGGCACATAAATGCATGTGCAGCAAAACAAATTTCCACTTACCCATGTTTGAAAACGTATATCTTTTTTCTGCATTTTAAGTTCCATCATGTCTTTGTCAGGAGGTGAGGAGTATTTCATCTTCATTCTTTTGGACCTATGGTTTATCATTGCATTGACAAAGTTCTAAAATCTTTCAAAGTTGTTTTTTTTTATCTATAGTAGTATGAATTATTTTCCTTGTTCTATCCACTTTGTTCCATATCATTTAACAAAAGTCTTCTAGTTCCTTCTGAAATTGTCCATTTCATCAATTCTTATGGCATGATAATGCCCCATTACATTTATGTACCACAATTTGTTTATCCATTCCCCAATAGCAGGATAGTCCCTTAGTTTCCAATTTGGGGCTATCACGAAGAAAGTTACTATAATATATTTAGATTAGTTCCCTTTCTTCTTTCTTTGATTTTTTTGGGGGGTGTAGGCCTAGAAGTCTTTTTAGCTAAGTCAAAGGGTATGAACAATTTGGTAACATTATGGGCCTAGTTCCAAAATAGCTAGACCAATTCACAGATTGACCACCAATGCATTAATTGTACCTATTTTTTCCATAGCCCCTCCATTTTTTTTTCATCTTTGCCAGTTTAATTGATATAAGTTAGAACTTCAGAGTTGCTTTAATACACATTTCTGTAATTATTAGAAGTTAATAGCATTTTTCATATGATTATGGATAACTTGGGTTTCTTCCTTTGAACATTTTGTGTTTGTATCCTTTTGCCATTTATATAATGGGAAATGGCTCTTAGATTTATAAATTTGAAGTTGTATTGGTTCCAGTCTTTTATGTTCAGCTGAGGATTTACACTTTATTTTTTGTGATCATTTCACATAGAAGCAACTAAGCATTTGCATTTTAAAGCTTCTGGTTGTGAAATAAAAGCTTGTTTCTGCTCCTTAAAGGAATTTGACTTCTGAAGCCAGATTGTGAGATTAGGCTTTCAAATCCCCTGGGTATACTGGTATAATCTACCTGAAGATAACTCTTAATTAATCCTTTTCAGATTACTTGAGGTTCTAGAGGCCAGCTGAGAAAATCCATTGTATGTCAGTATGATAAGAAGGAGCTCTCTGGTCTTAAAATCCTCAGTTTGAATTCAATCACTGGAACTTGCCTGATATGTGACCCTGGGCAGGTCACTTCAGTTTCTTCATTTGTTAAGTAGTCCTGACAGTTTTATGTAAATCTTAGTGGTTATCTTTCAGATATTCCTTCTTCTTCTCTCCCCTTCTCCCTCAGGTCACTAGGGATGCTTAGGTGAAATTGCTTAAAGCTTAACCCAGGGACCTTCTGGCAGTAGAGGAGCATGGTCCTAGGAAGGGAAGATTTGCAAGGATAATCAGATTCTGGAGCTACAGGTATCACAATAGGTGCTGCTGTGTTTAGGGAGGGCATGGCTTTGGTGAGGTCACCAGAAATATAGACCTTCTAGGAGGGGGCATTCAGGGAATATTTTGAACCAAATACTGAAGGAAGTAGGTGAGAATTCCATGAGGGGGTATGGCCCAGGGGTATACTGTTGTATCTTCATTATTATGCAGGTTGATTTGGAACTGGCAAAATGATTAGAACCTTTCAGTAAAGTATCATAAGGCCTTATCCTGTTTAACATTTTTGTCATTTACTTAAATGAAGGCATAGATGATATGCTTAATTTGTGAAGCTAAGAGGGATAATTAACATGTGGATGATGGAATTGGGATCTCAAACAGTCTCAAAAGGATAATGAGAGGTTGATTCTTAAGAGGATGAAATTTAATAGTGTTTATATAAAGTCTTTTGGCGACAGGTGAATAATTTCTAAACCTCCTTATTCCTTTTCCTTTCCTGAGAATTGAAGGATCCCTCTTCCTTACCTATCCTAATTTTAATGTAACCTCTGCCTAAATCTCTCATCCTTCCCCAAGATTTTCACTGTTAAAGGATTTAAAAATTTTGTCTTGAAATGCAGAGTTGTGTCTCATGTATCATTTCTACCTCTGCTTGTGACGTTTTTTGATAAAAAAAAATCATTGGAATACAACTTGTTCATTAATAGAGGCATTACTTTATATAGGATCATCTACTGAAAGGGAACATAGAGACCATCTAGTCTAACACTTTCATTTTACAGATGAGGAAACTGAGACCCAGAGAGGTTAAGGACTTGCCCAAAGTCACATAGGTGGTATGTAACAGAGGCAAAATTTATATCCATGTTCTCTGACTTGAAATCTCATATTTCTACATTTCCCTACCATTATCAGATTTTATTTTTCCTAATTGGCATCAGTAATGTTTTTTATTTCTGAAACTATCAGTAAACCAAAAAATTATTAGGCATTTCAGAAGGGAATCAGCTATTTTGTTTGGCTGAGTATAAGACATAGATTACTTGCAGCCCATCGTTTGATACTTTTGGAATTACAATGATGTGACAATGTTGTCTTCCCAGTGAACAAATTGTACTTTTAAGAGATCTGCCCTTACTCAGATATCTTTTCTGTTTTATCTTTATTTTTTTCCTGAGGAAAACATATTTTTATACCTATTGAAAATTCCCATTCTGATTCACTTGAGGTTTAGAAATTTTGTTAAATAATAAAATCTTAATTAGCTTAAATTTTTATTGAAATGCAGACACAAAATAACGTGGTGTTCTAGATCAGTGGAGTGATCTATATAGTTGAAGGTATTCCACTTATGGATAAAACTTAAGTTCTTGGTCACATGCATATGTTTAAAAATCACTGATTTTTTTTGCATTTTGTAAAAATCTTGTGAGGTAGGTCATCTTCATATGGATAGCTTTTCTTTATAAATTGAAATTTCTGAAACAGATGCCTCTTAAAACACTTAGAATAAAGCTTCAGTTGATTGAGTTAAAGAATCTTGGGGGGCAGGTAGGTGGCGCAGTGGATAGAGCACCGGCCCTGAAGTCAGGAGGACCTGAGTTCAAATCCTGCCTTAGACACATAACACTTACTAGCTGTGTGACCCTGGGCAAGTCACTTAACCCCATTGCCTAGCCAAAAAAAAAAAAGAATCTTGGGGCTAGCAGACTATAGTCGTTGTCCCATCTAGCACTTTCATTTTATAGGTAAAGAAATCAGGGCATAATGAAGGGAAGTGATTTGCTCAAGGTTCCCTAGCTGGTTAGTGATGGCAAGGACAGTAACATTGAAGATCTATAGTCTTTCTACCACACTGACAAGGCACTGTATTAAATCCATAGAATCAAGAGACATGTATTTCGTTCTTGCCCTTCTGCTTACAAGCTGTATGACTGGAGACAAGTCTCTTATCTTTTCTGAACTTCAGTTTCTGTGAAACAGAGATAATCACATGGGGAACCTGGTTTGACCCTCTGATTATTCATGTCTAGCAAGGATGAAATAGTATGAATATATTTACATCACTGTCATGGAGGTGGTCTAGTGCAGAGAGCATAAGTCAGAGAACCAGATATTGCTGTTCACAGGTGATAGATTATATCAAGTCCAGGGATATTGCCTCGTAAACAAGATCCAGCATCCCCCTTGAAGAGTTTGGCCTGACTATCCACATAGAAAAAAAAAAGTAGATAAAGCATAACTCTTGTGTAGACTTTGATGCAATTCGACAAACTAAAGAACTTGGAAATTAGCATATGTGTTTTGGACAACCCCTTCACATGGACACTGAACTGGTCCCGGATTTGAACAGGATTAGGTGAATAGATTATATTGCCTTTAGGAAATTGTAAAATTCTTGTAATAGTCCCAGACTTTGCTTTGAAACAAAGGCCCATCTTTTTAATGCCAATATTCAGGTGGTGATACATGGCTACAAGTCATACCATACTAGTTTCCAAAGAAATGGAGTTGAAAATCACCCAGAGATCAGTGGAGAGGTGTGTGGTGAGTTTGAACAGTCTGAAAGATATTTTGAGTAAGGAATTAGTCTAAAGAAACAATGTGAAGAAAGGTATAGGAATTTTTGATGGGGAAAAAAAAATGGGCTGCTCACGTGGTAAGAATGATGGTAATTAATGACCCTATGTGCTTTATTGTTAGGTGAATTCAAGAAAGGCCACCAGCACATTGGAAAGACCCCTCTATGATGAATTTATGGGAGGACTGAACAGTCAGGATGAGCAGGCCTGGACAGATTGTAATTTATGTTATTGGAGGAATCAATGTGGTCACAGATCTCTTGCAGTACCTAACTCATAGAATTGAGAATCAGATGCAAGTAAAGTACTTTGTAAACTTTAAAATGCTCTAGAAATGTAAGTTATTGTTCAGGATTTTATAGTAAGTATGCTTTTTAGCATCAGTTATATAATACCATAAGTATAGGTGTAGATGATAAAGGAAACTAGTTTGAAATTATATTGACCCTGGGTCATTAACAAATCTTAGATTTGGAGTAGACTTTAGTTGTCATCCAATCATACTTCCTCTGTGCTCTTCCACTTACTTTCTTGCACCCTTCTCTCTCCCCCCCATTTAGTTTCCTGACAGTCCTGAGAGGTTATCTATAACTTAGAACGCTTGAACACCTTCAGTGATAGGAAGCCTCTACCTTAGAAGTCAGTCTGTTCACAGTGCCTTGTACACACTAAGAACTCAGCAAATTAGCTCTCCTAACTAGATAATTTTTTATCCTGATTATCAGTCAGTGTATTTGCTGTCTTTAGTTTTTTGTTATCTGCAGATTTGATAAATATGCTTTCAGTGTATCACTGATTAAAATGTTGAATAGGTCAGATCCAAGGATCAGAATAAGAACTAGAATTATACAAGACAGGCTGCTGCTAAGGGTACAGCAGTACACCTGTACTTCAATATTTGTAGGGGTTAGGAGTACAGGACCTCCATGAATCTGAAAAACTGTAAATAAGTCTAGGCCCCACCCCCAAATCTTTATTTTTAATAATTCTGATCATATTTATTTAACACACAAAACAAGTAAAACAACATACTGCACCCATAAAAAAAGTTGCAGTTTTTATGCAAGAGAGATTAGTGTCTTGCACACTGTGGAGACTTGTCACAGCTGCCAGTGTATAACTGCTTCACAAATTTCCTTCTAAGAGAAGCACAAGATGCAACAAGACAAAGAGCAAGCATTCCAAAAGAGAATGCCTAGCCCAGGGGTGGGGAACTATGGCCTCAAAGCCACATATGGCACTCTAGGTCCTTAGGAGCAGCCTTTGACTCAATCCAAACTTCACAGAACAAATCCCCTTAATAAAAGGATTTGTTTTGAAAACTTGAACTCAGCCAAAAGGCTGCACCCAAGGACTTAGAAGGCCACATGCGGCCTTGAGGCTGCAGGTTCCCCACCCCTGGCTTAGCTTTTAGTTTAATGCAATGAAACTTTTAACAGAATTTAACTTTATAATAAATTTATGTATGTATATTAATGGTAGTAAATAAAAAAATTAATAATATACAATATTTATGCATTTATGACTTAGAGTTTTTTTGAAGTTTTCTTTACATATATGTGTTATTCGTGATTTTCTGCAGTACACCACAAATCTCTAAAAATTCCCATTTAATTATTGATGGCCAACCCACAAATAACCAAAACCATGAATATCAAGGGATGACTATATTGAATCTCAATTAAGAAACTTAGGTTATTTAGTCCAGTTAGCACCTCAGCAGAAATTCCCAAGGATATCTATAATATCCTTGACATCTAGCCTAAAGACTTCTAATGATAGAGAATTCTGTGGGGGAGGGGAGGGTCATAATGAGAAATCCTTTTAAACATTACATTTTGTAATGCCTGAAAAGGCAGTGTTATATAATGGATAAAGAACGGGCCTTCAAAGTCAGAAAGACGCAGGCTGGAGTCTTTCCTCTGACACATACTATGTGTTTGATCATGGGCAAGTCACTTAATCTCTTGGTGCCCCCAAGCAATTTTTAAAGCCTATGTAGGTGAGTTGAAACTGCATTATTAAGGAGAAAAACTCCACACAGGGAGTTTTCTACATCAGTTAAATCACAGGTATAGACTTGATGCTTTTTGCCCCAATGTCTACTTTTTAATGCCAAAAAAATTCTGTTTTCTATGGCGTATGCGTATTCTGCATTAAGTAATGGCTTGATTACTTAAGCAAAAGTAATTTTGGTCCTATTTCAGTAAAGTCTTAAAACCTGTAATAGAATTTAATACAAAACCCTATTTTCAAAAGCTGAGAGTATACTAATTTTTAAACCCTGCTTAAGGATGGGTGTTTTGTTCCACCTCTGCCAAGGACGTGCCTTGTGGCATACCATTCGTTAGGGATCTTTTAGCCTGAAATGAATCAAAATTTTTAGTTATGACTATACAACCACTTATGAACCTATTTAACTGTATTATAATTAATGAGCCACATTTCTTTTGTCCATAAAGAAATCATGAAAGTCTTATCAGATATCTTGCAGAAATTGTTATGCTATGTTCATCCTCATCTCCTCACCATCCCTCTTTCAGTCAGTTGCCAGGTCTTGTTTCAAACTCTATGACATCTAGTTCTCCCTCAAAACCACCACCTTACTTTAGGATCTCATTACCTCTTAGTTATTGTAATGGCTTCATCATTGGTCTCTTCTCTCTCTCTCTCTCTCTCATGTCAATCCCCACTCCAGTCTATCCTCCACACTGCCACCAAAATGATTTTCCTAAAGAACAGATCTATGTTGCTCCCCTGTGCAATAACCTCCAGTGGCTCCCTAAAGCTCTTCACAACCTGATTCCAGCCTATCCTTCCTGCCTCATAATTACTCTCTCTCCTGTATTTTTCAGACTACCCTAACTGGCTTTCTCTCTGTTACTGACACCATGCTATATTTATTTCCATCTTTATGTCCTTGTACTGGCTGTCACCTGTGCCTGGAACTCATTCTGTGCCTAGCTCCATCTCATGGAGAATAATGCTAAAGTAAATCTGGAAAGGAAGATTGGAGCCAGATTATAGAGAATTTTACTTAAATTATAAGGCCAAGTAGTTTGTATTTTGTTGTGCATTCCTCCTTTTAAGGAGCTACTGAAGGTTTTTATGGCAAGGATGTGAGTGACATCGTCAGCCCTCTGCCTTAGAAAGATTATTTTTGCACCTGTGGACAGGATGGGTTGGAGAAGCCAGGGATAACAATTTGAAGGCTGTTAGAATAGTTAAAATGAGAGATGATGCAGACCTGAAACCTGAGTTAGAGGTTAGGGGAATAGAGAAAAAGGAGCACATATAAGAGATGTTGTAAAAGTAGAATCACCCAGGACTTGGATGGAGAGTCAGTTGAATGGTTACGTGGAGATAGGGGTGAGGGAAAGGGACGAGTGAAAAGTGACTCTACGGGTAAGAACTTGCATAACTAGGCAATAATTTAGAAGTCCTTTTGGAACTGTAGGATATATTTTGTCTAGGTCACAAATCTGAAGTTAATTTAAAATGGCTAGATGTTTCCTTTTTTTTTTTTTTTTTTTTTTAGACTTTAGTTAATGCTGTTTGCTTTATCCGTTTTAAAGTGAAGTTTCTCCTTGATGGAAAAATTATAAGTAGGGGTAGAGTAATCCAACTCATCTCTTAACATGCCATTTTCCCTAAGCAAGTCCCAGATTTGAAATATCTGGGTTCAGTTTAGTCCTATATTTGAAGAGCCTGAGTCCTATTACCTGCTCTCTTACTACCTGTTTGACCTTAAACAAGTAATTTAACCTCTTTGGGTCTTAGTTTCCTCATCTGTAAAATGAAGGGTTAGACTAAGTGAAGTCAAAGGACCTTTCCAGCTCTAAATCTTATCCTATTCTACACATAGCTTTAAGAAAGAATTGTTTTTTGTCTTTAGCTTTTTACAAGCCCATTCTAAGCATTAACATCATGAGTTCCTTATAGATTTATGTCATATTTTTGTAATCAATTTTAGTATTCTTTTGCATTTTGTTCATGGTCTTTTGAAAGAGGATTTTAAACTTTTTGAAAACTGAATTTTTTTTCTTTTTAAAAATGGATTGCATATTTCTAGAAGAGATCAATTAAAGATTCTGAATACTCCTTCTTTCCCTTGACTTTTCATCATTCCCTTTCATCATTCTTTTCTCAAAACATACCTTTTATCTCCTTTGCTGTCTTTTCTTGAATAGGTAAAATAGGTTTTTCTTTTTTTTTGCAATGTCTCAGCAATTCCATTTGTTCCTGGTATTTTAACTGTCACCTGTATGCACATAATTCCCAAATTTCCATCTCTCAGTCCAAAACCTATATCTCTTCTTACAGGACATGTTTACCTAGAAGATCCATTTCCTCACAGTCTACAGCCTGAAAACCAAATTCCTCCTTCCTACTTTACTTTTCCTGTCAATGGGACCTCCATTCATCCAGCCTCCTATGTTCAAACCTTGCTGTTATCTTTGACCCTCCCCTCACTCCTTTCTCTCATATCCAGTTAGTTATCAACATTTATTAAGCATCTACTATGGTAAAGCCATTGTTTCATGTCCTATAGAGACAACTTTGGTAGTATCTCATTCACCCCCTCTAATCCCATAGCCACAACTTTGTTCAGGGACCTTATTCCTCCCTACTGGGACTGTAGCCTCCAACTTTGCCTGCTATAAAACATCTTTTGTTGGATTACTTCTTTGCTTAAAATCAGCCTTTTCTGCCTTGCATTGAAGTTCTCCATAACCCGACCACCCCCTGTCTTTCTAACTTTATCTTTTGCTACTGAGGCAGCTCAGGGATGCAGTGGATAAGAGTGCTGGATGTGGAGTCAGAATGCCCTGAGTTCAGATTTGACCTTAGCTACTTACTAGCAGTATGACCCTAGGGAAGTCACTTTAAGCTGTTTGCCTCAGTTTCTTTTTTGTAAACTGGAGACAGCTACCTCCCAGGGTGGTTATGAGGATCAAATGAGGTCATTCTGAAAGCTCTTAGCACAGTACCTGGTACATAATAGACACTATATATGCTAATCCCTTCCCTACTTTCCCCCACATACTCTGTCTGTAGCTAAACATACCCTGTACCTTTTTTCCTGTTGTTCCTTGTGCTGAGAACTACCTTCTACCTTTCATGCTTGCCTGGTCTCTGTATCCTTTTAAGCAGTGGAGTTAAATTCAAGTAGAAATGAGAACCACTAATCTGTGCATGAGGATCCCTATGAGCCACATATTACCATAATTTTAAAATGTAACATTATCTACATTTTAATATGGCTTTATTTTGTTAAATATTTCCCAGTTACATTTTATCTTCTTTAAAACATTTACATGCACCTTTTAAAGCCATCTGAAATGCTACATCAAAATTTAAAAGAAAAAAAAATCACAACTTGAGAGTTGGAAGGTACCAACTCTAACTCGTACTCCAAATTCCCACTGTAATTTATCTGACAAATAGTTATCTGGCATTTTGAAGATGTCCAATGAAGGGAATGTACCAGATGTTCATAATGCATTGTTTCCTTGATCTTTCCTAGGCAGAAGTGACCTTTGTCCACTTGGACATCATGCGGCATTTGACTTGGACCTTGCTTATGCATTTAGATGATTTGTTTTGCCTATGTGTCATTTCCTTATTAGATTGTGAATTACTTTAGTATAAGAATTGTTTTTTAACCAAACCCTTTGTTTCTCCTGGTGCCTAACAGAGTGTAATACATGTAGTAGTAGACAATCAATATTTACCAAATCAAATCGACTTTATTTCAACCATAATTTTCACTTAAAGATATTAATTATGGTTGATTATAAACTTGAGTTATTCTACTCAAAAAGCCATTAAAAAATGCCAGTCTGCATTTTGTGCCATGTTGCTATTAAAAGTTTTTAAATGTTTTTTTAATTGCATATCATCAGTTTTAAAAGTAAATTAAGTGATTGAATAGAAAGAGTTTAGTTTGTAGTAATGAAGTTATGTAGATGATTAAGTAGTAATGTAGAAATGAAGTTTTTAATGCTGTTGTATTTGTTTTTATTTTAGGTATATTTGAAGGAATATTCTGCTTGTGTCTAGGTTGGAGATACTACAATTATTCAAGAAAATTGAGAACAAACAAATAACATCTTGGGGAAAAATGGAAGCTTCCTATCAAGTTTTAGAACAGTTATATAAGAAGATGCTTCTTGGAGCTCCACTTGAAAGTGACAGCCAAAAATATGCGTTTTATCTCAATCTACCTTTTTCAGCCCAAGAGTTATCCACGTCAAATTTCCTTAAGTGGCCATGTGTTCATCATGGTAATCAAGCTAGTTCTGTCAACATGGATGCCGTTTCCACTCCTGTAACATCAATAAATTTGAAAATGAATTTTCAAGTTAATAATCCCAGAGATATAATGCTACTTCAATTAACAGTCATCAAGATGATGATAACCAAAATACTATCTAAAAAAATGGAATTCGGTATAAAAGAGAAGTATAGTGATATAATTGAAATTCTTTTAAAGCCATATGAACTGGAATCTAAATTAGTAAGTTTTTTTTTATTTAAAAATATTAATGTCAAGGTTTAGCATTTAAAATTCAGATTTTAAAAATATGGATATTTGCTTTTATGCAGATCACCATGTTCCACGGTTCTGATAAGTTGTTATCTCATATGGCTGCAAAGTGTCTTGCCTCACTATTGTATTTACAACTAAGAGAAAAGGTGAGTATAGACAATTGTTACCAAATGTTGTATTTCTTTTCTAAATAAACTTTCTTAAAAATCTTTCAAGTTATTATTTTGAGATTTCTTTCTTTTTTTTTTTTATTTAAAACAGGGCTTCTTAAACTTTTTCCCCTCACAATCCATTCACTGTTTCTTAAACTGTGGGTTGCAACTGATAAAATTTTATTCTCTAAGCCATTTGATTAGTGCTGTATTGTGCTAAGTAAGTAGCATTCTAATAATATAAATGTTAGAGTAAATAATTCGAATCCAAAAACTCAAATAAATCATTATCATAAAGTTTAGTGTAAGTATATAAGTTAGTATAAGTTTTTAAGAATAGACTTTAACATAGTCCCCCTGCCACATCTATCTATATACATATATACACATATGTACTATACACAAACAAGTTCAGCTTCATTTCCTTTTTTATATTTTAACTTCTACTTCACAAATAAATAGCAATTAATATCACTTACTGGCTTGAATAATATTAGAATATGTAATTTCACACAACCTATTCAGCTTCCTTTTTTCATAGAGTTCTAAAATTGTGAGCAGGAATATCATTTGGTATAAATATTTTATAGGGAAATTTTGATTATGTAAAAGTAACAAGTTTTGGTTTTTTTTCCCACAAATAAAACCAATGCAGCTAAAATTAGAATGATAACTGATAAGTTATCTTTGAAGGAGAAATTAGAGAGGAAATGTTTAACAAGGAAAAAAATCTTTTCCCCAGATTTCTCTAAGGGTAAAATTTCGCGGATATATAAGAGACTGATTCAAATTTAAAAGAGTAAAAGCCATTCTCCAATTGATAAATAGTCAAATGATATGATCTGGTAATTTTCTATGGAAGAAATAAAATCTATCAGTAGCCATATAAAAAATGCTAGTAATTAGAAAAATTCAAATTAGAACAAATTTGGAGATTTACCTTGCTTTCATCCCATTGACAAAGATGATAAAGAAGGAAAATGACAAGAGGGACTCTAGTAGAACAGACAAATTAATACTCTGTTGGCGAAGCAGTAAATTGATTTAGTCATTCTGAAAAGCATTTTGAGACTGTTGTCAAAAAGTCAATACACTTGTGTACTGTTTGACCTATTTATACACTACTGGGCCTGTATCCCAGAGGGATCAGAGAAAAACAAAAACGGATCTGCGTGTAAAATAATATTCCTAACAGTTATTTGTGGTGGAAAAGAACAGGAAACCAAGGGGATGCCTATCAAATGGAGAAGTGGTTGTGAACAGGTTATAGTATATTAATGTAATAGAATAATATTGTCCTGTAAAAAAGTATGAAAGGGTGGTTTCGAAGAAACCTAGGAAGATTTGTTTGAACTGATGTAAGCAGAACTAGGAGAACAATTTATACAATAACATTGACATTTTAAAGGCAAACAGTACAGTGGCCTGGCACAATTCCAGAGGTCCCACGATAATATATTTTATTATAAAGTGTGCCACCTACCTCCTGACAGAGAGGTGAAGTATTCAATTTAGAGTAAGACATTTTTGGTCATGGCCAATGAGAAAATTTGTTTTCTCTGACTATCATTTTCCAATGGCAAGGGCAGGAGGGAGAGAAAATAAATTTTTGTTGACAAAAGAATATTAAATTTTAAAATGTTTATATAGAATTAATTGATTTGTGGTAGAATTTAAAACATACCTTATTCTTTTTTCTCTTATAGGCTGTAGTAAATAAAACATGGACAGCTTTTTGTTTAAAAACTCTTTCTGACTACCCTGAAAGTAATACAGCCTCATATTGTCTCTGGATTCTTACAGCTGTAATAAAAGAAATATTGAAGGCTACATGTTTACAGAAAGCAGGTGCCAGTTCTTTTGACATAATTAAGTATCATTACCACTGGAAGAAGTTCATGCTTATATTATAGAATGAGTTCTATTTCGTAACTGCCGATCTATCTCTGAAATAAGAAAGATAGGCCTTCCCCACAATACTTTGGAACGTCCTGGAGTAATAGGTTAACTTTTAAAATAAGTTTGTATTTTTGAAGTAGAAATTGAAGTTTTTGATTATTATCTAATCCTATGACCTTTAGATTATATATTATAAATTTAGAGCTATAAAAGACTGTCTAATCCAGTTAACCTCATTCTATAATAGTGGAAATTGAGGCCCAGAGAGGATAAATAACTTGTCCAGGTCTCACAAGTAATAATGTCAGAGGCGGGATTTGAATCTTAAAATCTAAGTCCCCTGATGACTAGGCCAGTGTTTTTTCTGCTTCGCCACATAACCTGCAAGTTCAAGTTTTCCTCTTCCCTTCTTTTGCAAGTTCTAACCTTAAGACTACTTTGTACTTCCAGTTTTATCTTATTCTGGTTTATATTCTATTTTTCTATTAAGTGGCTTTCCATATAAGACTCTAAGGTCCTCATAGAGGCTTTTAGATTAGATTAGATTAGATGATTAGAAATTGTTGGTTATTTTGTTTTTCTTATGATTTTGGCTATTACAAATATAAAATCAGTCTTAAAATTTTGTTTAAAAATGTTAATATGGGGGGCAGCTAGGTGGCGCAGTGGATAGAGCACCAACCCTGGATTCAGGAGGGCCTGAGTTCAAATCTGGCCTCAGACACATAACACGTAATAGTTGTGTGACCCTGGGCAAGTCACTTAAACCCCATTGCCCAACCAAAAACAAAACAAAACAAAAATAAAATGCAGGTTTCATTTACCTAAAAAATGTCCTAAAAAAAAAATGTTAATATGGGGGCAACTTGGTGGCGAAATGGATAGAGTACCAGCTCTGGAGTCCCGAGGACCTGCGTTCAAATGTGGCCTCAGACACTTGACACTTATTAGCTGTGTGACCCTGGGCAAGTCACTTAAACTTATTGCCTAGCCAAAAAAAAAAAAGTTAAAATGTATGTTTAATTGTGCTTTAATCACTTACATAGTCATCTATGTCCCATTTATAATTACTTTTTTTATTGTTTCAGAAATATTGAAGCAGTTTTTGACATCTTTTGATTTTCTTTTTGAAGTCTTTTACTGTTCAGTTTTTTCTCAGCATTTTGAAAACTATGAAGATACATCACTAAATCCTAAAATTACAAATTTCTTGATTTGTTTTCTGGAGTTGCTTGAAATTCTTATAGCCTCCAGAATTCACTTGAAGTTATATCTCACTTGCCAGAGAATTTTTTATTTGAAAATATTTTGTGCTTTGGACATTATTACCTGGCCTGTTCACTCTTTAGTCAAAAAGAAGTTCATCATCCTTATTAAAAGATGTCTGCTACATAAAGTGGGTGAGGATGTCCTAAATACTTCACGTTCCACTTTAATTGAACAAGATCCTTATTTAGATATGGACATGTTAGCTTTAGGTAATGCTTTTTTGCAAGCTGTGAATTTGGGATGGTTGAAGCAGTTATCTGTTACTGGAAAACCCAGCCATTTTGGAGGCAATGAAGTTCAACCTGGAAATAAAAGTGTTGTTGTCCCTGACCTCATTGTCGTCAGAGCATCAAGTTTGGTTTTACTGAAATCCTTAGAAATCAAGGTGGATAATTGTATGTCAGCAAATGAAGTAAAAGGTAATTTGTCAATTTGTCCCCCACCCTTCAAGGAGAGTGATACATGATCTTATCAGCTATTTTCAAAGTTTGAAGCTTTAGTAAATCTTTCCAATTTGAACCAATGAGATTTCCCCAATCTTATGTAAATGATATAAGTTTTTATAATTTTTCATACATAAATTAATGCATTTATATGTACATAAATTTGTGTAATTGGTTGTTTTCATTTAATTCTAAATGAGCATATTCTGCAGCTACCATTTTATGGACTAAATTGATTTTAGAGAAAATTATTATTTTTAAGAATATTGTAAGTGGCTGGTTATCTGTGAACAAAATGACCAACAAAATTAATTAGTTGTCACACAAGTATTGAATTTTTATAATAACCCTGTATAAAAGAATGATATGTGCCAAAATATTGTGTTAATACATAAAAATTAGAAATGGACCTGACCAGTGACATATTTTCTAAAGAAATGGCTGCATGAAATCTTCAATTATTCAGGATCTCTTAGGGAATTATTATAGGGGATCCTTTGTTGCATATAAAGAATTTTTGGTTGAATTGACTAGTTAGAAGGTTAATTTATGAATTTATTATGTTGCATTTTGATAACCTATCAAATGAAGACAATTTAAATTCTGACATTTCAGTTTAGGTGTGAAAAAGATTCCTTGGTTTTACTTCAGAGAAACCACAGGATATAAGCCTTACCTGAAGAGAATATTCTATGGTAGAGTTTCACACTAGGATGTCGTTTACAACAAATTAAAAGCCTTACAAGTTTATCCCTGGTGTTTCTACTCTTTCATTCTAGAAATATTTCTATTTCATATGCAGTTATAAGTTAGAACACTAGGTGGCATATGCTATGTAATTTTAGAATGTAACTGCAGTTAAAAAAAAAATGCCCAAGGTATAATGTTCTAAGTTTTAGTTTTATTAGCACTTTTGGTGGTATACTTCTTTTTAAAAAGAGTTTTTAAAAAGGTACTTGTTTTTCTATATAATAATGCTTCAGCTATTTATATCATATCTTTAATTGGTCAGTAGTAATCATTTTTGAATTTACATAATTCATATTTCCACTATAGAACTTGTTATAATTATCTTTTATACACATTCTACTCATCAATTTAAATTTAACAAAAACTTACTTGAAAAAAATTATCCTCGTCTATAATGTCCTATAGTAAACTATTGATTTATAAAAAGTATCTTTGTGAGTTACGTGTTTAAGTGAATAACTTTATTTTGCATTGGCCATTTAAAACTTAGTTTTGGGGGCAGCTAGGTAGCGCAGTGGATGGAGCACCGGCCCTGAAGTCAGGAGGACCTGAGTTCAAATCAGGCCTCAGACCAAACACTTGACACATTTACTAGCTATGTGACCCTGGGCAAGTCACTTAACCCCAATTGCCCAAAAAAAAACCCAAAAAACTTAGTTTTGCCTTGTTGAGATACCATGAGAAAATGTTTTTTATTATTTCTTTTATTGACAAGGTTGTGTTTTTGTAAGAATTTTGTATTAAGAAATAGAATACTTCAGTATTGATTGTATTTTAATTGTTTTATTTTGGGGATTTTTTTTAAAGCTGAATTACAGAAATTCATGTCTGAGTTATTGACCTTCTTAAAACAGCACCTTCATTCCTCCCTGAAATTGCATCATCACTGTGAATGGCTCCCTAAAATCTTTATAGAACAAGACGATGACATGTTGGAAGCTGCAAAAGCATCATTAAGCATTTATCTAAAGCTTACTAGGTTGGTATAGTGTTTATTAGTTAACCCAATAAAAATATTTAAAAATAATTATTGTACTAGTAAATCCCAAGAAAATGAGAATATTTTAATAGTTGCTTTTTAAAGTATTTATTACTTTTTTTTTAAACTGGAACAAACTCTAAAATTGTGGTTTCCCATTAAGTGTTTATTCCTACTTTCTGAGGGGGTCCAATTTTATACACAGAAATTAACAGGATGAATTTCAGTCCTCACAATGAAAACTTGTCTAACTGAGGCAGCCTTATGAGTGGCACAGCAAAAGGAATATTGAACTAGGGGTCGAGACCCAGATTCTAGTCCTGGTTCATTCTACTAAGTAACTATGTTACCTCAGTCAAATAATTTATCTTCTCTGGGCTTTAATATTTCATTTGTAAAGTGGAGAAATTACACTAAATGCTGTCGAGGATTTCTTCTAGTTCTAAAATTCTATAATTTTTAGTAAGAAATATTACTTGTTTTAAAAATTATCTTCATCTTTATATTTGTAGATGTAAGTATATACTTGCACGTAATCAAACCGTCCCTTTTGAATTTTATTTTTATTTTCTTTTGCAAATGATTTTGGGATGATGTCTTCATAAAGTCAGTGTCTATAATTAATTGTGATGACCTTTACACTGGTTCTGCTTCTGCTTTGTTTGAAACCTTTTACACTGGTCTTGCTTCTGCTTTGTTTAAAACCAAAAAGCATTTTCTTTAATTCCATTTCTCTTCTTGGCTAGTGAGAAAGATTACTTATTAATGATCTTAAGTGAAGTTTTTTGCTGCCAGTACTTACTTGTATTATGACATTGCTGGCAGCATCTGTTATGAGACTGAATGTTTATTAGGGCCAAATTTTCAAAGGATTTTAATCAAGAACATAAATTTCTCTGCGATTTGAGTTAGGCTTAAAAAAGGTCAAATGCAAATCCAGTTTGAAAATGTATTCAACTTTTAGAACTTATCTTAGTTATATTAAAATTGGTTTCTTATTCCCTCACAATGAAGGGGATATTTCTAAATTGGATTTGATTTTGCATAAATTTGGATTTTTTCATGTGAAATGGCTGCCCTATGAACGTTAGATGTTCAGTTTGTCATGGTCACACTGAATGTATTAAGTATCTTGTTTTTTTCACTCTAGTTGTCGTTTTGGATCAGATTATTAAGTATATTGGAAAAGGATGGTTTTTTGAAGTCTATTTGCTTTGAGAAATAATTGGTAGTTGAGCTGATATTTAATCTGGATTGTATAACTACATTTATTTACAGAGCATGGAATGAAGCTGCTAAGGGCATGACCCAAGAAAAAGAAACTTGGGACCATCAGACACATGAAAATGGCTTTAATCCTCACTGTATTTTCTTATTTCTCTTAAAAAATATTGGGTTTGATGCAACAGTTCTCCTTGACTTTTTAATTTCATCAGAAACTTGCTTTCTTGAATACTTTGTTAGGTATTTAAAACTGCTTCAAGGAGAGAGAAACAATTTTTCAAAAGTTTGTAAGTTATTTGATACAACAGAATTAAGAGATGAGGTGTATATTTCTAGTATTGTCACTTCACATGTTGAAGAAAGAAGCAGCAACCAAGCTACTCACCAGCCTCTCTTCTGTGGTACAAATTATTATGCTCTTTTACCCTTGGCTTCTGACCCTACTACTTCTGGGACAAATATGGAACAGAAAGACAACCAAACTGTGAAATCGAAGCAACCCAACTTCGTAATAGGCATTGATAATACATCTTCATCAGGAACCTCTCAAAGCCTAGTCGATTATGACAGCTCAGAAGATTCTGAAGAGGAGTCAGTGGAAGAATGTTTATCAAACATTAAACAGACTCCTTTAAACCATCAAGTCATTACAAGGATAAGGGAAACTGTCAGTGTGACTGGAAAAAAGAACCAGAGTTACCTAGCATCTACGACTGGAGAAAAGAACCAGAGTTACCTCGCATCTACTGCCAGGCTTCTAGATCCAAAAGAGTCTTCTACTTTGTCATCTTTTGGTTGTGAAGCAGCCTCCCAAAGTATTGCCTCCCAAACTGTAATATCTTGTAAAACATTTAAATGCTTGAAAGAGCTAGAAAAGGCAATTTCCCGTTTGCATAGGAGACATCTTTTTCCGTATAATCCTTCGGCATTATTGAAATTGTTAAAACACATTGATACAATAAATAAGAATAAATAAAAATCAGCTGTTTTTTTACCCTTGAAATCTAGCCTCTTTGACTCTTTGGTGTCACCACTCCCCTACTCAGACTGAATCTCAGCATTATTATTTCAGTTGCTTTTACTAACACCATGGACTCTTGTCAGCTTCTCTTGCCCTTCTGCCATCTTGTGGTCCCCTTGTTCACCTCCTGCGTTAGGGGCTGAGCATTGCTGGAGAAAGTTACACAATAGTATTGATTTGTTCCAAAACAAATTAATGCTATCTAATCTCAGATCCTCAATTTGACTTTAAAAATCATATTCATCTTTAATTGGCTTAGTATTACTTTCCTCACACAATTTGTTATAGATTTATTCCACTTTCATCAGTCCCCCTTTTACTCACTGCGGATGACTTTGTTTTTTACTTCAGTTTGACAACAGAGGCCGTTTGACATGAGTGCTCCCAACTTCCATCCTTCCTGACTCAAAAGTTTTTTGTCTTTTCCTTCCCTTTTCAAAGGAAGAAATAAAGCTAGCTGGCCCATGGTATCCTTTATCTCATTTTTTCTTACTTTTCCTGCTGTTTGCTTCATTGTTTTATTTTCTTTCTCATTTTTAACCTTTAATAACTCACCATACCTTGAACTAGATGATCTGGCATGTACTAATAAATCTCCTAACTCATAACTGTACCCTCAGTGTCTTTTGCCTTCTAAAATATCCTGTGCATTGTTGCTGATTAGTTTTCTTTAAAGCAAGCTCTGATAATATCGTATACAACCTCCACACCAAGAAATCTTTGGTTTCGTACTACTTACTGAATCAAGCACTGATTCCTTGGCCTCACATTCAAGTGCTACATAATTTGATTCTATCCTTTCTGCTCTTGTCTCCTATTATTCCCCATCATACACCTTGAGACTGGAAGTGACTCCTTTTCATTCCCCTAAATACTAAATCCTTCTTTGCCTTTTTGTCTTTACTTATAGCACCTCTCTTTCCCCATAGCTTTGCTAGCCTAGTTCATACCCATCAATTAGGACCAAGCTCAAATGCCATCTCCATGAAGTATTCCTTCAGCTCTCCAAGTTTGAAATAATTTTCCTGTAAAGTGCTTCTTATTACACTTTCATATGTGTTGTATAAAAGTTGTACAGTAAAACATAAACTTCTTGAGATCAGTCTCCATTTCATTTTTCCTTTATATACTCCAGTGCCTAGCACAGTGCCTTCTATACATTGGCATTTAATAATTGTGTGTTGAATTCAATTTAGTTGTTGTTTACATCTCCCCTGTTAAAATGTAAGTTCTATTAAGACACTTGTCTTAATTGTCCTCCATAAGATCTAGCACTATGCCTTGTGTATGTGTGTGTGTATATGTGTGTATATATGTATAAATATATATATATGTATGTAATATATATATTCAATGTGTGTTGAATTAATTTGTAAGGAATCAAATCTCTAAATGGAATTTTATTTTCAAGAGATCTTAATCTTATTAGAGGATTAATATTTTTAAGATGTAATAATAAAAGAAAAAAATCCTAACTGTGTAGCTTAAATCAGAACTTTATTCCTTACTGGAGCCAACTTAACTAACAAACAGCCTGATAACCACAATACAACTTATAATGATTCTCTTAAGCAGATAGGATTTTTGCTTGTGAGATTAATTTTGATGATGTTAAGGAGAGGGTAGGTAGACTTTTAATAAGTTTTTTATTTTACTTTTTAATGAACATTTTTCTCTCCCTCTCATTTCTCTCCAGAAAGGTGGGATGGGAAAACCTTGTTAAAGATATGTATAGTCAAGCAAAACAAATTTCCACATTGGCCATATCCAAAAATATATGTCTCAGTCTACATCTTGAATCCATCACTTATCTGTAAGGAGGTGGGTAGCAAAATCATAATCAGTCAACAAGAATGTATTGTGTACTATGTTGTAGGTACTCTATTCTGCTAAGGGCTTGGAATACAATGTAAAGATAATATCTGTTCTCAAGGAGCTTACAGTCTAACGTAAGAGACAACACGAAAACAACTATCTACTAACAAGACATATACAGGACAAATTTAGAGGTAGCCAAAAGAGGAAAGGCACATAATGATTGGGAAAGGATTTTCATAGAAGGTGGGGTTTTATTTAGCATTCAAAGGAAGCCAGAAAAGCTAAGAGGAAGAGATGAAGAGGGAAAGAATTCCTGGCATGAGAGACAGCCAGTGAAAAAGGCTTATGTGGAAATGGGAATGTCCTATGCAAGGAACAAAAAGGACAGTGTCTTTGAATTCCAGACCACTTGAGGGATGAGTAAGGTTTAAGAAGACTGGAAGAGTAGGGGACCAGATTAAGAAGGGCTTTGAAACTCCAGATTTTGCAGTTGATTCTCACTGTGATAGGGAGCCAATAGAGTTTTAACAGGGAAGTCACATGTTCAGATCTGTGCTTTAGGAAGATCTATTTAACAGCCGAGTGGAAGACAGAGTGGAGTAGGTAGAAAATTGAAGCAGGGAGACCAATCAGGCTACTGTGGTAGTCCAGGTGTGAGATCATAAGGGCCTGTACCAGAGTGGTGGCAGTGTGAGAGAAGAGAAGAGGGCACATCTAAGATGTTTTAAAGGTTAAAGTTGACAGGACTAGACAACAGATTGGACTTGGGAGATAAAACTAGAAGTTGAGGATGAGTCAACTTAGGTTGAGATACTGGATGAATGGGAGGATGGCGATACCCTCAACAGTAAGAGGGAAAGGTTGAAGATAGGTTTTGGGCATGTTGAGTTTAAGATAGGTCATCTAATTGAGATACTGGACATTCTGAGATAGTCTGGAGGTAAGTCAGGGTTAGGTAAGTTGATAGGAGAATTGTTAGCATAGAGATGATTATTAAATCCATGGGAACTGATGAGATCATGAGAGAAGAGAAGGAGACAGTGGGTATAACCTTGACAAAGATCCACTAAAGGAGACAGCAGTAGTTAGATAGAAGGCAAATAGGGATATAGTAGAGTTACAAAAAGAGAGAAGGGAAAAAGGGTGATGAGCATTGTCAAAAGCTCCAGAGAGGTTAAGCAGGATGAATATTGAGAAAAGTTCATTAGATTTGGCAATTATGAGATCATTTGTAACCTTGGAGACAGCCATTTTAAGGGGTTTGCTGGTAAATGTTTAACAAGTAGTTCTCACAATAAACTTTTAAGTTTGATTTGCATTAACATTTTATCACTTTCTTAAATATAAGTAATTAACAAAATAAATCAAGTCCTGATTTGTAGTTTGCTGATTTCCGAGGTAACAATGCTTACACTGAAAATTTAATAATCAGCAAGTGGGTATGAGCTGGCTCATGCCCACTTTTAGCCATTTGGATTGAATGCTGATGTTGAAAGCTAGCCTAGAGAGAGTTAAGAGTAAGGGAAAAGGAAGGGAGGCATCGATTGTGGATAGCCTCAAGGAATTTAGCCACAAAATGGAGGAGAAATGTGAGAAGATATTTTGTGTATGGATGGATCAAATGAGGGCTTTTTGAGAATGATGCAGATGTGAACTTGTTTGCAGGCGGTAGGGAAGCAGCCAGTAGATACTGAAGATGAGTACAAGAATGGGGATGCTAGAAGGGTCAATCTGCTGGAAAAGACGGATGATTTTTTTTCCCTTCCCTTTGTCAGCCAGCCAGGCCAGGAGAGTGGTGGTGGGAGCAGGGTGGAATGTTGTTTTCTTCCCAAGCTAGCAGGAATAGTGCAGGATAGGAGATAGGTAGAGGTAACACCAGGTAAGGAGACTGGCTTGATGGGATGGCATTTCTGCCCTTTCCTGCAGGCAGGAAGAAGCGAGGTAAGTATCTGAAAGATGGGAAGAGGCCAAGCAAGAAGACTAGAATGGTATTTCTCTCTTTACCCTGCAGTCAGGAGGATGAGGCCAAGAGAGGAAATGCTTTCAAGAGAATAGCTTACATTTTCCTTCCCCAGTGCTAATGTCCCCTTGGGAATCATTGTTGATCATTTCAAACTGACTTCTTAAATCTTTTGAAATTGTTTGCCTTTTTGGTGTTATTGTTATTATGTAAATTAGTCTCCAGATTCTATTTACTTCACTTTACATCATTTCAAACAACCAGGTTTCTCTGAAATCATCCCTTACCATAATTTTTTCAACAGTTTCCCCAGTTGATGGGCATCCCTTTGGTTTCCAGTTCTTTGCTAACACACACACACACAAACACACAAAACTGTTACAAGTGTGTATGTATGTATATATATATATATATATTTTTTTTTTTCTTCTTTTTGATCCCTTTGGGGTATAGGCCTAGTAGTGGAAAAGCTAGGTCAAAGAGTACACACAGTTTATTGTCCTTTGGGATATAGTTCCAAATTCCTTTTTTGAATGGCTGGACCAGTTCACAGCTTTGCCAACAGTACATTAATATGTTTGTTCTGGAACCCTTCCAATATTTGTCATTTTCCTCTTTTGTCATCTTTGCCAATCAGATGAGTGTGAGGTAGAACCTTAGAGTTGGGAAGCTAGATGTAAGAACTAGATATGATAGAAAATCATGCCTCCATTTTATGTTACAGACGGTATGTTGAAAGTTAGAGACTCAGGAGTTCTCAATCATTGAATCTAGCTTCTTTTTTGTCTTTTTGCCTTTATTTGTTTGCAAAAGGGAATTGTCTTAACTGCACTAAATCCTAAAGAAATATAAAGTCAAAATCTAGCAAGGATTGGGTTGTGTAATGATGAAAAGTAGAATCATAAATAATTCAGTGGTTTGTTACCTTTATATGTTTAATGCTTATGCTTTACACCTTCCCATGTTTTGAAATAAGCTTTTGTCAGTATTAATAATCACTTACAATTTCATATAAATTTGTCACTTCATTAAGATTTTTTTTTCATTCCTGTTGATAACATTACATTTCCTCTGAGAATAACTGAACACAAAATTCTCTAAATTCCAAATGAATTTTATCTTATATGCTTAAGAATCATCCTGGATGTGAACTTTTCTTTTTCAGGATTTAAATATATGTATATATATTTACTTTTTTTTTTCT